TAAATCACTGACAGTGTTTTCCCTTTATTTTAAAGTAATGGGTTAAAGATGAGTTGTTACAGGCTAAGGCTATGTTAACCTTGCAACAAAGTTTGATTTGCAGGCAGCATTTTTATCAGTCAAAGCGGTCAATTTGGCTGACTGCTGGTTCTTAGGGAAAACACTGCACTGTAACAATTTTACATCCCCAAACCTTTATAAGATATGTATTGAGTTCATAAATGATAGTTTTGTTTACTGTGTCAAGTTATTTAAGTTTTTCTTCATGAATTATTTATATTTCTAAGACAATATTCAATTTAATTCAATCAAAAAAGGAAAAAGAAGAATGCATATCTTAAATATAATTTTTCATTTGACTTGACTTTGTAAACATTACAAGACCTTGAGTGAATGAATTTTAGTATACCTGATTTACTGATTACTAGGGCCATATTTTAAAAATATATATATATTTAATTGATGATAATGTAAAGTTTTAAGTCAGTAAGCCTGTAGAGGGCAAATAGCAAATATATTTTTTTAATATATGGCATAGTATGAAATAATTTTCTTCCTATCACCTACATTATTTTCTCTAAAATACTTTTAACTTATTGAATGTGTTTTTAAAAAGGGGTATGGACTATGGAGTGATAAACAGTACTTAAACATTTGGTACACTTTATTTGAGAAGTAAATAAAAAAATCATTTTGTGTATAGAATTTTGAATTGAAAATAAGTAACACGTTTTTATTCTTGTATTGTTTCAAACTCCACATAGGTAAAATTTCTTCTTATTTCAAACTATTCCTTTCAAAACCCATCACAATTTGTTACAATGAAGTATAACATTCCAGTGGTGTGAGGTGGTTAAAATTTTAGCAATATAGTATACTTTAAATATTTAAGAAATTAAAGCATTTTATCTTAAAGTCAATTATGTATGTATGTCTTGTATTTGTAATGTCTTACTTTGTGTTACATGTCTGTGTCTTTAAGTAAAGTAGATTTTAATATATTTTGCCTCATTATGAACATAACTGACTTATTCAAATATATTACAACAGGTGCAGTATTGGCTGGATGGTTGTGAGAAGGACGATGATGTTTATGAATTAACAGAACAGGAATTTTATACAGATTTGAAGGACGGAAATTTGTTTATCCTTAGTAAGTGCATTTTACATTTCCTATTTGAATACACTGCTTTTTGGGGGGATGTAATTAATTACTGGGATTAAAATTGTCCTAATATTTCATTATAACTATGTAACCTAAGAATATTTAGTCATTAAAATGAGTATTTATTTAATTTTCAGACAGTACACAGTTGGATCATTGCTACACAAATTCTTGAAAAAGACTATAAGGTTTATTGATTTTTTAGAGTTATCTTTCATAAAAATGAATTATCTTTCTTTGAAATTACAGTCTTATATTTGTAATTGGATTACCTCCCTCTTTGAACAACTGTTTCATTAAAAGAATAAAATGTAGTTTTCAATTATTTATAATTTCTTCTTTCTCACTCTGAATATATCAAAATTCAATGCAGTCTTAAGTTATATTAGTAGAAAGATATTTGAAAATGTTAAATATTGTTTTTTTTTTCAGGTTTTACAATTTTATGTGGAAAGGCTACATACACATGCAGCTCTGTATATCCTGGAATTCAAGTAAAATCAACTGTCTTTCCTGTTTATTTCATGTGCATACAAATTTTAGCCTCTGTTTATTTCAAAAAGATTCATTTTGCTCATGTGAAAAATGGTGAAATGTACAAGACTACACTGTACATAGCACAGGAAATCAGCTCTGTACATAATGATTAGCCTCAAGGTCTAAGGGGTTTCAAAACGGGATTCAAGATAAAGTTGCAATATCAGAATTACTAGTATTATGAATTTGTTTTTTTTTTCATAAAGAATTATTATGTCTCACGATCAGTCAGAGTGATGTACTGCAGGACTGCAATTATGAATATTTTTTTAAATTTGAATGTGATTAAAAGAGACAATTAATCTTTTAAATTGAATAATATGTCCTTGCAATTGGCTGAAAAGAAAAAAAATAATCTGTTTTGAATAATAGCTACAATTTCCATCCACGGGTCATTATTTCAGTACCGGTAATAATTTTTGAAACCCACAGTATACATGTATAATACATTTTATGGTTAAAAAATAGTTACCGATACAACCCCCTCCCCCACCCACCCCTACCATAATGAAAAAGGAGTTTGGGCATTTTATTTATTATTGTTGGTTTTTTTTTTCTTTGCTCTTCAGACTTTTTATCTGTTAGAAAGAAAATTAATAATTTTCCCTAAAGATCATCTTGGAAATAAATAATATGTCCTGCCATGAAAATAAACCAACTTGAAAATAATTGCCCCCTCCTCCCTCTGGATCAAAGGTCTTCCCCTAACCCATAGTAAATGCAGTCATATTATTTAGTTTTTAGACAGGATAAACAAGTTTAAAAATGTTTTGTTAACCAGTCAAAAATATACTTGTGATGATTGGGGGAGTTGCATGGAAATGCAAATTTTCTGTGAATCAAATTTAAAGCTAACAGTTTATCATTTCTCTGGACTTAGATACATAATGATTTAACCTAAAAGCAGTACAATTAATATAAGATCTGTCTAGCAGTATTTTATTAATGATGAAAATAATTTTCTGACCCCCCCCCCCAAAAAAAAAAATTACAATTTATCAAATGCACAAAAGCAGATTATTTGAATAGGTCCAGCAGATTTTACAACAGATTTTTATTAATTGAACTTTGGTAGATCCAGGCATATTTGTGTTGAAATATTTTGCCATCAACATCTTTAAAATCGCATTTTTTTAAAGAATGATATTGTAAAAAGTAAATTAGAATTTTCCATCAACTTCTCTAAAAAAAAGTCACTGGAAAACACATTTTGACTGTCATTTGAAAAGTTCGGACTGTTAAATATGGTTTTAAAAAATGTAAATTTAGGAGCAAGGAATTAGTTTACTATAACAAAAAAGAGTGTCTTTACATGCTTGAAGCACAATTCTTTTCGTATAAGAAAATGGAAAGTGTATAGTCGTTTAATTTTCTTAATTGCCTCCCTTTTTATACCCCCCCCCCCTGAAAACCGTACTTTATAAGCATTTTCACATTATGCATCAAGCTAAAGGGAGAATGTAATACCAGTTTCAATAAAATACATTTAATATACGGGATAGAAGTCAGGATACAACATAACAATGTCAGTATTCCGAATACCCGAGTATAAATGCATTATTAACAAACTAATTCAAGAATATGTGTCCCCTTGTTAAGGAGATAAGATTTTGTGTAGATTAAGAGGGGTGGGATGAGAAGGGGGTGTCAGAGTGTGATGGGGGTAGCTATAGAGGATGGGACACTTAAAGAGGGGGGGGGGGGGCGATACAAAAGGGAGTTATGATATAAAAAAGCTTACCTAAATGCTTTTTGAGATATCTCTCGGAAATGAGAGTTTTACATACAAACAATTTTTTTTTTACATTGACCTCTTGACCTAGAAATAAATAGGGGTCTTTTTACGCTAAAGCGAGTTGTGATATAAATTCAAATTGAAAAAAGATCGTAGGCTTCTTAAGATACCCTACTATAATAAAATGTTAAAACAGACAGAAGGGGGGGGGGCATATTTTTATAGACAAAAGACGAAAATAAATGCCTATTTTCCCCCAGTTTGAAAGTGATTTACAGCTTAAACAGTGTATTTTATTAATATATAAATGTTTTACTTCTTTGCGTAAAAGATGAAAAAAAAATATGTGGAACATTTATATAAATCCAATATATTATTTTTGAAATACATGTATGGTGATGCTTGAAAGTCCGATTTCAATGTAAAATATCATCGACACCCCCCCCCCCCTTCCCTTTATCTCAGAAATTGGAAAAAAGGGATAAAGTACTGTTTAGGACTGGTATTAAGATAATGGATCAAATACCATTGCACTGTTTTTTGTATAAAACAAATGATTTTATGGCTAAATTTGCACTGGTTTTTTTATAAAACAAAGATTTTATGGCCATTAATATTGAATAAAATGGTCGCAAAATGTAGGCGGGAATTGAGATTTAGCGTGCATAGTTCTTTATATACCACTGTGACCTTGAGCTTTGACGTTCTGTCTGTATGGGCACACCTTCATGTGATGCTAGTTATTGTTGGCCAGAACTGTAATTTTGCTTCTACATTTGTTGTTTAAAACACAAGTATTAGTTAAGACACAGAAAAATGTTGTTTAGTTTCCTTAAATATCTATCTAAATCTGCCATTTTGACCTTGACCTTTGACCCTTAGTAATGAAAATTAATTTTTTTTCTCTTTGTTTTTGCTCTTGTTTACCATATATCTAAATTTGTTTTAATCCATCTTAAAATACTCAGACAATTAAATGGATCGTGATTGTATCTACGTATTGTACTTTTCTAGAATTTTTAAAAAAGCATAAGTTTGTAACCATGGTAACAAGAAAACTAAATATAAAAACCAAGTAGTTCTTTGTAGTTTATATTAGAACTATATATGGACTTTCAAACCCATGTATTCATTTTTTCCCAACTATCCGCAAAAAATTATATCAGGCTTTTCAAAAAAGCCTAAAATTTATAATTTTCCCCAAGGAAAATCCTACCTATAAACGAGACGTATTTTTTCTATGAGGTAAAGTTACTGAAATACAAAAAAAATTCTAAAGCACTGTAAAATGATGTATTTTGGCAAAAAGGTAAAACCACGTTAATAGCTTTTTCCATTGAATACTTTTAATAAGTCAAAAAAGTGTCATTTTTCATCAAAATTTAGCAATTTTTAGGCCATGAAAAATGTATGTTGGTTGCCATGGTAACCATCGACCATAGCAACCATTTTATTATGAATTTTAGTTACATACATCGATATAGGAATGTATGCCAAGTTTCGTAAAAATCCAAGACCATGCGTGCCACACTCCCTATATAAGAGTTTAAATGCTTACAGAGAATGGCTATTAAGTGTCGACCTGTCGACCTTTGTGATGACATTGTAGGTTAACCAATAAGAGGTGTCTACTGTCGACCTGTCGACCTTTGTAGTGATACTGTTGATTAGTAAGAGATGTCAACTGTCAACCTATCGACCCTTTTGATGTCAATGTATGTTAGCCAATAAGTGTTGTCAACTGTAAACCTGTCTACCCTTGTGGTGACACTTTTGATTAGTACGAGGTGTCAACTGTCGACCTGTCGACCCTTTTGATGTCAATGTAGGTTAACCAATAAGAGGTGTCAACTGTCACCCTGTCGACCTTTGTGGTGACACTTTTGATTAGTAAGAAGTGTCAACTGCAACCTGTCGACCCTTTTGATGTCAATGTAGGTTTAATGTGGAATTGTCAAACTTTTTTTGTAAAGGAGCATTTTTTTTGGACTATTTTTAAAAAGAATTTTTTTTTAAGTAATAAGGCAAAATATTTCCATCATCTACTATAAAAAGTATTATTTCTTATGGAATTTTAAATTTGAAAGATGTTAATCGGTTTTATGGAATTACTTATCCGTATACCCTAGTTGAGCCCCATTATCAATGAATTCTGACATGGACACCAGAACTTAATTTTCTAGGCAATGCTTTTATAAGTCAGTTATAATTAACGAAATACCTTTTTGATCATTTCGATTCTTTTTTATCTTGCAGACATTCAGAGGAATTATTCAAACATTCAAAATGTTTCAACATTTAAAGTTTAATTGTACGATTCCATTTTACAAGTTTTTCAGAGTTATCGCTCTTTGTGATGACAGTGTGACAAAAGCTGAACGTGTTCTACGGAGAAAGAGACTCTGTGTTTTCTTTCTTGTTTCTAGACGTAGTAAAATGTTCATACTAAATCACATTAGAAAAACCTTTACGAACAGAGCAGACTGAAGTTTTTTCAAAATTATGGTTATATGTTTTATTGTTCCCTTACTTAATCTTTGTTTAAATTTTATTAACACCTGGCAAGAAAATTAGTTAGTCGTGTTATCTATCATCAACTGATATGTTTTTGTGTGATTATGCATTATGTGTATACGCCATATAATTATCGTTTTTGTCATTTACACAGGCCATTTAAAAACCAAATTGGAGGCCTGGAGCTTTAAATAAATTGAACATAGAAAATGCACTTCGTTTTTAGTCGTTAAAATTATTTTTGTTTAAATCTGCGTATACGTATTTTCGTCCTTCAAAACTGCATGAAAAAGCAACTTTTGATGATAAAAAGCTTTGTCTTGTTATATTTTTTTTTACATACGCACTGTTAGCAGTTTCTACCCTAATAAACTGTTGTGTTTTTTTCAACGATTGAAACGCATTAAATTTATTAAACAGTCAGACTAAGTATGATCAAGGAATGATTTCGTAATGTGGTACGCACATTTTCAATACATGGGAAGGATAGCGAAGTGCACAAAGGGTCAAGATTCACCTCTCCATACGTAAATATGCCAGGTTCTAATTCTGATGAGTTTGGGCCCAAAATTTCTATTTTGCAAACGGACATGAAATAAGGATTATTTTATAGGATTATTCTAAGTCCGATCATTTGCAATATTTCAGCCAGAATTTGAAATGGAAATGTATTCCAATTAGACCTCTCATCAAATGTTATGGCAGGAAAAAGGCTTCCATATTGTGTTGGTCCAGGTCTCTCTGTAAGTATTTGAAATGGAACATATTAAGTACACAATCAACCTATTTTTGTCTGTTGTATGTTTAGCATCTGTTCTTTCCTTTTCCCTTGTTTTGCGAAAATATAAACAAGAGTTCAAGTATCTAAAATTGAACTGACATTGTTCTTGCTCCAGGGCTGTAAAAGGTATGGCCCCGGAGCATTTTCTTAAAATACTATTTTGTGAACAATTTTAGAACATTTAGACGCATATCTCTAGATGAAATAAAACAAACTTAACCAACGTTGATGCGAAATAATTACTTATAGCTTGTGACCTAGGACAGGTAAACATTTGCAACCTTTCTTTTTTAATTAGTGACATAAACAAACTGTGTACATTTAAACAATAAAATGCTTTTTTTGTTTGTTGTTGAACGGTAGCCGCGTTAGCAGGTTATGTTAATTTTTTCTGCAATAGCTGCGACCTTTCATTTCTGTAACAACAAACAAAGAAAGCATTTTATTGTTTATATTTATATCTGTTTAAATAATCAATTAAAGTAGGATTAAAAAGATTAATTTTTGTATTAATGATGCGAATGAGTTTATACATTTCATTGATGGAACAGCCACTGATTAAGAAATCTGTACAGGCGACCTGCCTACTGTAGTTTATGCAGTGACGAACGCATTGGGGTTTCTTAAGAAATAAAGGGAAAAAATATACAGTGGATGTAAATATACATGGATAATTCTTATAACATAAAACATAGAAGCCTCTTTCAAGATGACTGCATGTTCCAAACAAACCGTAAAAGAACGTGCATGCACTTCAAAAACTCAAGGTACAGAAAATACGGTCATGAGTAAATGTATAAATAAAACCTTAATATAACTTATTTATGAAAGAAATAATTTATACACACAGTATGTCATATAGATACACCGTGTCATATTGGCTTCGAAAGATAAAGCATTCATTAATCACACTGAAACAAAGCTACTTTGAAAACGTTGAAGCTTGTGAAAGGTATACGAGGGTTGTCCGTAAAGTTTGTATTGAGTTAAATGGTGATTATGATGAGAAAAGTTATATGTACTCGTATAATGCTTTTGACGTCGGGTAACGTCAAGAATTTTCACTTTAGTGCTCCGGGTATGGGTGTGTGTCTTTTTTAATCTGATAAAATTATAACTATTTGTGCTTTGTTTTTGTTAAAAACTTGCATGTTAATAAAATAAAACAAGAATTTAATGAAACTAATAGTTTCATATATTTTATCAATGTTTGTCAGTAATTATCAATGTTGTCCACGAACTTTACGGACAACCCTCGTATATTAGTATAGATTCAACTATTTTGAGATTGTCGGTTTAATAATGTGCACTTGAACTTTACATCATACGGAGTAAATAGGTCGGCAGGAGATATCCCCTCCTCCAAAGCACTTGATTCTACCTCTGATGACCAGTTTTGGTCTGCTCCAATTTTATATACCCGGTAGTGTGATGGAACTCTGATCTTGAATTCTCTGTTCGTTATCTCGATCGATCTACGAGGGGCGTTCAATAAATAATGTCTTTGGGGCTCAGAAAGAAGCAAACGACGCTTTTCAATGATTTAGTCTTCATGATTTTACTTATTAATCTATTTCAATTCAAACACTTGTCCGTAACATTTTTTAACCATTTTCTGATTGTTTTTAGAACTCATTTTTGGGTATGACCCTTAGTATACTGGAAAATGGCAAATCCAATGATTACCTGGACTTGTTTTTTTTTCCTTCTGAAACGTGTTTTATTCAAATTTGGAAATAGAAACAAGTCAAAAGATCAAAGATCTGGCAAATATTGTTAATGTGAAAAACATTAACTTTCTGTTTAGCCCGTAAACCCCTTTACTCTTTAGGACCAGCGGATTTAAACGCTGTCATGAAGACATTCAATGAAGTTGATTCCTGATTCTGGGTCCTTTCTCTGATAAACCTTTCGATTTCTTTGCTAAAAAAAACTGCTTTCTAGACACTTCCAGATATTAAACTGTCTCCCCGAATACGAATTTGAAAAATAATACCACAAATATTTAAGAAAATTGCATATAAATCTGTTTTTGTGCTCTTGTATACCTTTGCTATTGACAGACCTTTTCCGTTTTTATCAAGTACATCTTATGGTAAATTTTGTTTTAATGGTTTTAAGCAATAGATTCATGTTCCAATATCTGTTTGAATATAAAACAAACGTGGATTATTACAATTACTGATATTTTAAAATAATTGTTAAGACTTTTGTACACGCTGTCGTATTCACTAATTTTTCAAAATACAGGGTGACCTTAGAGTACCAAGCTTAATTACTGTCAAACGTTTCTTAAAAACAGTGTAAACTACTCCCGATATGATGTCTATCAAATTTTCTATGTGTCTTAGAGTCAATCATACAACATCAAATATTATTTGTTGAAATTTGGCAAACAGTACATAAGTTGTTATAATTTTTGTTGGCAAGGAGGGTACCCATTTTTGATGCCCATTATATAAATTTTTATCTTTGAAATCCACCTGCTAATTTGTCTATAAAACAGGCATCGGTTGCTGTAAATGTCACATATTTCAGTGAATATTTCTTTGGGATTTTTAACAAGTTTTACAGCAGCTTTAATGTTGCTTTTATTTTCACTCTAGTTTACTGATTCTTCACCATTCATTTATAATGCAGTGTCTCGAGTAGCCCTTGTTTCCCAGCTTCTCACGATAAAACTACGTGATGAAAAGTGGTCACATAAACTGTAATTTATTCATTAAAGATTCAATAATTAGAGAAAGTCAAGCTTTATGTCATATGACTACACTGTACTATGATGTATGTAATCGAGCTAATGATATTATTTATTGAACGCCCCTCGTAACTTACAATATTAACCCCGTGTGAATTGAATTGAATTGAACATATTTTATTGACCAAGTTAGAATAGGTCCTCAATATCCCCTTGCTTGTCGCAAAAGGCAACTAAATGGGGCGTTCCTTCGGATGAGACCGTATAAACCAAGGCCCCGTGTCACGGCAGGTGTGGCACGATAAAGATCCCTTCCTGCTCAAAGATAAGTGTAAGTGTCAAACAAAGTCCTAACTTTGCAGCCCTTCACCGGTAATGGTGACGTCTCCATATCCGTGAAATATTCTGGAGGAGGACGTTAAACAATATACAATCAATCAATCAACAATATCGATTTTAATCGTGTCTATTTCATAGGCTCTCCCACAAAAACGTATCAGAATAGGCAGTTTGGAAAATTCAAACGTATTGAAACCCTACCGCGCAACTCAGCCAGTGCCATCATCTCTAGAAAATGCATCATGCTCTGGGAAAACAAATGACAATGAAAACCAGGAAGATGCTGACGACGATGATGCAGGTAATTTGTTTCTGTTGTTCATGTATTCAAGCTCATACACACCTAATTTCAGAGACAAGTAAAACTTGTTGATGAGTTCCGATTAAATATTTTTTTTAATATCAAAACAACTTATAAGCTAAAATGCTCTTTATTTATATGCAATGTATTTCTATGTATCGTAATTACATAAAATTGTTATACTTTTTGTAGATCGTAGCCTCTTGTACTGTATTCTCTCATCGGTGGACGGAAGTATTGATCTACAATTCAATTACTGGTATGAGACACTAACAAACATCAGAAATTACTACAAATTGAAACACAGATCAAGAGAGGAAGACATTCTTGCCATTCAATCAATGACTGAAACATCTAGGCTTGTAAAAAGGGATCGGAACATTGTAAAATGTTTTTCTGAATTCATTGTTGACGAGGAAGATGACTGTGTTTATAATTGCCTGACATTCAACAAAAATTATGTAAAATTCATGAAAGTGACCCCGACAGAGGTTTTGCAAGAATGTGTTCTGTTAGTGAATAACATACATGAATATATAATGAGTAGCAATGAGATTTCTAGTAATGTCTTGAAGTTTGGATTGGACTTTATTCGTTTTTATCACACGGGCCTGGAATATAACGAAAAACATAACAGAGGTTTAAAGATATGTAAGTATTTATTTTGTTTTACAGCACATCGTACATTTTAAGGGTAAACTTAATAAGTATTTGATATAAAAATATTTAAATTTTCAAACATTATATTACTACTTTTCCAAAGTATTAAATGAGATACAATTGTTTATTAGTGAATCTTCCTAATGCTGTGGTTGACATGCTAAACGACGATGACGAGTTTGGAGATTTCAAAGAATATGTGAATGAGATCATGAAACAAGAACAAAAATCCTTAAAATCATTGCATTTGAATAGTCTCCTCGGCTCATACCTTATTGGAAGAGAGACGGGTAGAGAAAAAGGTGATTCTTTCAGTTGAAAAGGATATGTCTATCATTCCTTGAAGAATAAAATGTCACAACTACAATGGTGAGAGCAAACAGTAAGAAATCTTTTATCATGCAGATCTTCGTGATATATGTATTGCATGTACATATCAACCACTAACCCCGTTATCCCCTGTTTTTAACTTCTCAACTTTTGTCCTTGTTCTAAGGAAGGGAATCGGCTAATGCTTCAACAAAGTAAATTTATCTTTCAAAATTTTCTTTTTTAAATGATATTTAATCTAAAAGGTAAGCTTCTTCCCTTTTGTGACAATATTTAATTTAAACATATGTATAAAAGAGTGAGTATTTTTCGTAAAGATAATTTTTAGAATTTCATAGGATTCCACACGTAAACATATTACTTACTTTGTGTGCGCTCACCATTGCAGTTCTGAAACATTAGTTTTCAAAGATTGACAAATCAATGTATAAATAAAGGAATACCAATTATTTTATTCACAACACCTTACTACGCATGCCAGTACTAGAAACTGAACGACTTATTTCTATACAGAAATTATATACACTGTTTCAAGGCGTCTTTATACCAGGCAATACAAATTGAAAATCTTTTTATGTTTATAAGAATTTCCCAAACCAAAATTAAAAACTCTTGGGGACTCTTTGCGACGAAAAGTAACGGATTCCAATTTCAAATAGAATTTATTCTTAGACTTCAATTAGTGTTTCTTCACATAAGAATTATTTCACTAATGTATTCTTAATAATTCCTAAATTTGAATAAAGTTAAAAAACACTTTTTCTAAAAATATATTTTGATCTTGAATGTTTTCTTTTATCTTGACGATTTTCAAATATTCAAACAGAGAATTATAGCCGTTAATTGTAATAAATACTAAGAATAGTCTATTCGAAATAATCAAATACCTTGCAATAGTGTTAAAAAAAGAGGGCACCCAAATATGATACAGAAGATTAATTACGAGGGGCGTTCAATATTTTTTGTCACCTCTGGTTTTCAAAATAAATTAAATCAGTCGATTTGAGATCTGGTCATCCATGAATGAATTTATTTTTTATTGACATAGTGTCGAAATTTGGAACAAGTCTGTGCATTATGAAACACAGATGTCCACGCTGACGTGTCGACACCTACCCTGATATTTCGACATTTTCTAATCGTCACACAGAAGCCGATAATTTGAAATGAACCTGTACTTTAAAATCGAAAACAATGGAAAAAAATCAAACGTTACATATCAATTTTTATATATATATATATATATATATATATATATATATATATTCTGCATTTGTTTAATTACTGAATAAAAAAAGTGAAATATAAAAATAAATCAGAAATCGATCTCAAATAATGATGAAAAGAAACCATCTACCTTGATGCTAAATGAATGTTGTAGTATTTTTGTGCGAAAATAATGAATGGAATTCATAAATTAATCAAGCATAAAATAAAGATTGATTTTGGAAGTTTCTGAAAAAAAATTTTCAAATTAACATACAGTCATAAGGAATGGATTATTTTTTTTCAGCATTGAATAATCTCGCACTTTCACACTCAAATTGGAGCATTCTAGTGTCTATTCTCATGTCAGAGAGTTACAGTTTATCTTTAAGCTCACCATGGAAAGAATTATTAAGAAACCAAAGTGCGTTCCCTTTATTAAGTTGTGATTCAAGTATAATAGACAGTGATATCGCTAAATTGACAGATATCTCTAAAGTATTGTATAACGAAAACAGCTCAGTCAGATTTATATCAGATGATATCCGCCATCAGGTTATGAGTTACTTTGTAAAGAATTGCCTGATTACTAATGAGGACTACGAGAATTACATCAAGCTGTCATCAGTGGACTCGTTGTTGGAGTACGTACAACCCTGGTGGTATATGTTAGATGAACACTATCCATACCTCAAAGAATGTCTGTTCCTACCGCACAGTTTGGAGGATTCATTTTTTCAAAGACTTGGATTAGACGTTCTTCGTCACCCCACTATAGATGATGAGGAGGCATGTGATGAAAAGACGAAAGCTACGTTCAGAGAAAAAGTGAAAGACAAATGTGAGTGGCACTGCAACCGAAATAAAAATTTCATATTTTGTCAAAATTTTTTTAGCCTTTTTTAAGCATAATAATTAATGATTATATATGTAAAAGGAAGATTATTTTTTAAAAAAAAGGTTTTTGCTTTGAGGGCAATTAAAAATATTAAGATAAATTTATAATTACAATTTTTTAAATTGAAAGTTAACGTACCAGAGGAAATCTTTGATTGGGAATATGACGCACGATGTAGATATATAGAATGTGCTAAACGGGGGACAAAAACAGTACATAGAGCTCGGGCGATGATTGTTGGATGCGCAGGTGCTGGAAAAACAACCCTCCTAAAACGACTACAGAAGCTAGGATTAGAGGAACTGCTAAAAGTGTACTCAACTGTTGGACTGGAAGTGCATGAAGATATGTTTGAACTGGATGAAGACTCTTGTTTAAGAGGTATGTGAAAATTATTAGATCAATGATATGCTTCTTATGCCTTTGATGAATGCATTCAACGCTGGTTGACAAAATCTCCTAAAAAAACCATTTGCCCAAGCAGATTTTTATTAAGGCAATATTGCCACTACTAATCCTAAATGAAGAAAAGAGCATGAAGAGGGAGATGTTAAAAGGATGGATATTTCTTCGCTTATATTTATGTCTATTTTTAAACCATCATACAAAATTGGTTCATGCAATCTCGATAAATATTGAAATACATATATATATCTGAATTTATTGATATTGGATTCAAATGCTACAGAAATGTTTTTAAAGGTGGCTTTCAAAAAATGAATTTTAAGTACCTAAAATTAATTACTTATTAAAGAAAACAGCGATCATAATAAAAGATAAGATTCATTAGAGAGGAAAATACACTGTACACACATTCAAATAATATTATTGGATAAGTTGATTGCCTAGCTGCAAATTGCTTTACGTCAAAAAACCTCAGTTCAATTTTATTGTTTTCAGGGCTCGTACAATAGCTAGGTGTCCGCCGTTTTTCTATCTGTCTATCTGCCTTTAAATTATTTTTGAAATGATTTGTCTGCTGCATGTACATTATAAGAGCAATGAAAATACTAATTGTTATCCAAATAGATTCCAGTTACTTAAAGATACAATCATTTGTTTTTTGGTTTTATTTTGATGAGTCGTGTTTCCTTAATTGCGTCAAATAAAAACCTCTATAAAAATCTTTTTAAACGCCTGTTTTCATTTTATATGAAAATATCATAATCCGGTAAACTAGAAGGTCAAGTTCACATTAAAAAGATCCATTATGTTGTTTGTCTGTTGATTTCGATGAAGCATATTGTCAGAGTAGCTTAAAATAAATTTCCTTATTACAATTTAAATATTTCTACTCAAATTGACACATAATTCTTAAAAGTGTTTTTTTTTTTATTTCGATGAAAAGTGTTTCTATGGTAACTATAGAAAAAAGTCAGTTCAATTCATCAAATTTTGAGTTCTTTAAAAGTTCGTAAAAAAAGTTCACATTTCATTAAATTTCATTAAAACTCCAAATCAGATCGCTTCATCCGTAAATTCTCCGTTACATCAGAGTTCGTTAAAATCGTAAAATTATTTAAAGATTTGTTAAGGATCATGCCAGGGACCCAAAAAAAACTTTGCTTTATCCGTGAATTTGCTAGATCCATGTTCGAAATAAACGAGTTTTACTGTAATAATGAAAAAGTGCTTATTTATCAAAATGCTACCCTTTTACAGTTTTAATCAAATTGCAAACAGACTTTCCACAGAATTAGGCTACACTAAGTGTTTATTTTAAAAATCAATTTATTTCATTATGGTAAAATGTGTTGAAATAGAAATTTAACTGTAATTTTTTCAAAGGCTACTTCTCTGTTTGGATTTCAATAACACTTTCAAAGGAGGTAGACCGTTGCTGACAAAACTGTGATATATTATTCTTTTATCAGTTTTTAATACTGATTGATAAACGAAAAATTAAGGCCACTAAAAAAAGATAATTCAAAGATTTTTTTTTCCTTATACTACGTGTCCTACACTTTTTTCGTCGATTGCAATGACACTTTTTCAAATAACAGAACAAGTCTTAAGAATAATTTCGTATGTATTTTAGTATTGATGCATGGTGTTTCAATCCTTGTTATGTGATTTACGGAAGTAGGTGTAGCCTTCTTTAAGACGTTTTAATTACTTCAAATAGCAAGAATTGAAACACCATGCATTAATACTAAAAAGTCTTTAAGAATGCTACACCTACTACCCTAAATCTGGAAATTTTTACGTCGATTTTATTTTGCGAATTAGAATCAAAATGCTGTTGATTGATTTTTACGTTTCAAAATTTTGCGAATGACAACTGATTTGTTTACATTTTCTTATAGGTAGTTATTTTTAAGAAAAATATTTTTGCGAATGCAATGAACACGCAAATTTGCTGAAAATTTATCTACAGCAAAAATTTCAAGATTTGCAATACAGCTTTTATCACACTGCAATCAAATGTGACAACAGGAGACTAAACAAAGATTCTATTACATACTGTTGCAATAGTTTCAAGCCTAAGTGCTAATTTTCTCTACCTTTTTTAAGTAAAAGCAAATAAAACCTTTAAAGCATCGAACACATCATTCTTGTTTTCTCAAAAAGGTAGTTTTCTTACATGATTATCACTATACTGTTCAGGCGTTTTCAGGAATATATTATCGTAGAACCTACGTCGTATGACATCATAACTAATGAATGTGTGTATCCTATGCTAGATCCATTATGACGTCATAATCAATTAAATGTCATTTTTCCCCGTTCTTTACAGCTTCAGAAGAAATAGTAAAAAATAATGCATTTTGAAATTCAGGGAATTCAATTTTTAAAATTATGCCGAAATAATCTAAATTCAAATCATATTCTTTTTTTAGGTTTATAATGCTTATTGACAATATATTTCTGAAAATAGAGAAACATGTAGGGCACCTTTCATTTACTAGATCTTGACCTTAATTAAGTTGACAAATCTAAGACTATAATGTGTGATGAAATTACAATGTATACAACTTACTGTAATAATTTGAATGGTATGTAACCATTTTGAAGGAATGCAAATTTTTTTTAAAATCTTCATTTGCCTACTAAATAGTGTAATATCATGATGAAATATGTCTAATTAATCAAAAATGTACGTGTTGTAGATCGTCTGTGCAACTAGGTTAAGGGCTTCCCAAAGGTAGATCAGTGTTTGCAGAGCCCCAGTTATTTGATTATGACGTCACAGAGAAATTGTACAAATTGATCTCGGCGAATAGATAAAAATTTCCTTTTTCATATACTCTTACATACTTACATACTCATAATTCTTGTAATAGAAGGGCTCAGAGGGTACGGATCATCTGCATCTTCCAACAAGGGGACTAACGGTATGGCGTTAACAATCGCTGAAACTTCAGCCATGAATGTAAGTATCTCATGAGTGAGAGATCTGCCTGGTATCTCCAACATAACAGCATCATGATCAATTACACGTCTTACAACTCCAATGAGACGTTCCCATGCGCCACCCATGTGCGAAGAGTGGGGTGGGTTAAACTTCCAAGTAGTTCCACACTCATAGAGGAAGTTTCTGATTTTACGGTCTGCTATGTTAAGGTAGAATGTTATTATCTCTAGGCAGAGGTTTTTCTTTCAAAATGCACTGAATTTCTTCTGAATACACTCCACTCTGCACAGTTTTGATGATAAATTTCTCAGCTTTGTCAAAACTTTCCACGGTATTTGAATTTTCACACACATGCCATCCAGAACATTTACTGTCTCTTTGATGAAAGGATCGCGCTATATGTTGAAGTCTGGCGATAGTTTCAACAAGTCTCCTCCATTGAGAAAAACGTAAGAATCTTTCTGATTTAAATCCGAGTCCCGAGATATCAACCTTTAAACAAGTGATTTCTTGTCTGACGTCCTTGTCTGAATCTGGGTCCACCATCTCATACGGTATACTTGCATATTCAGTCTGTTGTAAGTGTGCAAGTGATGGTCCTGACAACCAAGTTCTGTCTTGTAGAGCTTGAGCTGGTATCTGTCTCGTTGCTTGATCAGCTGGATTTTTGTCTGTTGATATGTATGACCACTGATCTGGTTTAGTCACTTTACGAATCTGCATCACTCTGTTTGCCACATACTGTAAGAATCTCCTCGAATTGTTGAAAATATATCCCAACACTACTTTACTATCACAGTAAAACTTGAAATGTTCAATCGGTAATTCAAGCTGTTCTGAGACAAATCTAGCAATCTCTACCGCTAGCACAGCGCCACAAAGTTCTAAACGGGGTATTGAATATCCTTGTAAGGGCGCTAATTTTGATTTGCCCAGGACAAATCCAAAGTTTCCTAGTGATTCCTACATAGGCCACTGCTGATATTGCTGATTCTGAAGCATCACAAAGAATGTGAATTGTTTTGTTAGACATCTCACTCCATGACTGTGTCTGTTCTAAGTAAACTCTTGGAATGTGTAGGTTTTGGAAATGTTGTAAGGAACTTTTACATTTTTCCCACTGAGTAGACTGGTTTTCTGGAAGAGGTTCATCCCAATTGACTGTTTCTTGAAGTAGACTCCTCATGAGTGACTTGCCTTGGATGATGACTGGGGCAAGAAATCCTATAGGGTCGAATATACTATTTATTGTGGATAACACTCCTCTTCTTGTGAATGGTTTGGCGTCATTTGAGATTTTAAAGAAAAACATATCTGATTGCAAGTCCCAATTTAGTCCTAAACTGCGTTGTGTTGGTAAATTGTCCTTTGATAAATCCAAATTTTTCATTTCACTTGACAGATCACTCGGTGGAAAGGCGTTCATAACTTCCTGGTTGTTCGAAGCTATTTTGTGTAGACGTAATTTCCCGTAACTCAAAGCCCTCTGTGTTCTTTTCATGAGGTCCACAGCTTTTTCTACAGCAGGTTGTGACGTTAATCCATCGTACACATAAAAATCACGTTCCACATACTGAGTTACGTCAGTCCCAAACACTTCCTTTAGAGTCTTGCGTAATCCATAGGTTGCAATGGCCGGTGAGGGACTGTTTCCGAAGACATGAACAGTCATGCGGTATTCGATCAGTCTCTTTTCAGGGTTGTTATCTTCATGCCATAGAAATCGTAAGTAATTTCGATGACGTTCACAGACTTTAAAACAGTAAAACATTTGTTCAATATCTCCAATTAATGCAACTTTGTCTCTGCGGAACCGTAGTAATACACCAAGAAGACTGTTTGTCAAGTCCGGGCCAGTAAGTAATACGTCATTTAGTGACTTTCCTTCGAATTTTGCTGAGGAATCAAACACAACTCTTATTTTCTTTGGTTTCTTTGGGTTGTAAACTCCAAACATTGGTAGGTACCAACACTCTTCTTCATTCTGTAGAGGTGGTGCTACTTCTGCATGTCAGTTCTTGAACAA